CCCCCCCCCCCCCCCCCCCCTGCAACGGGAGTCTAAGTTTGGCTGCCAGCCTGGGCAAGGCTGGTGTGGTTGTGTCTTTCTTCGAGAGGACGCCCGTCTGCTAAGGCTTCCCGTTGTAGTGCGGGCTGATGTCGGCCTGTCATCTTGCCGTCATCATCTGGCATTCATTTTTCTCGCCAGGAGCTGCTCGATTCGTGTGGCTGTGCCCGGCAGTGATGGCTTGGCAGTGGAGCGCCGTGCGCTGACATTAGTGGTGGCCCAAGTTTCTCCGACGTGAGGAAGCACTCCTGTCCGATGCAACGATGCGACAGGTTGGAGAGTCGGACCTCGTAGTGGAGAAGTGCACCTACAAGGTCATGCTTTCGCTAGGTTTTGCGTTGGCTTCGCCGCGGTTAGTTCAGAGTTGCTCACGCAGGTGGATCGCGCCAAGGGGCGCATCACGATCAGCCTGGGCCTTTGTTTTCAGATGGACATAGAACAATCTGTACCGCAGGTTGTCCTGGGCCGAGGCCCTAGTTTCAGCTTCAGACCCCCAACGACTGCAGGCTTCTACAAGAAAGATGAGAAGAAGAGATGGCAGAGTGTCTGCCCCCCGGCCGGTGCAACATTTGCTTGTCTGCGACTCGATGTCGGAGGCACTCCGACTCAACAAGCTGTGATTCTCTGATTTGCGCTTGAACTGATGGCCGACCACAACGATTTGCCAAGGTGAAGCCCCAGAAAACATGAGCTTTGCGGGGTAAGCTTCTTTGCCAATCGGCGATGTTTCTGCAAGGCTCACCTATCAGTCACACTAGGTGTGCCTGGCCGACTAGGCTTGCTTCCATTTTTCAGTTGGGCTTTCTGTGCAGACATGCTGTCCACCGGGTAGCTCGTTGCTTTTAGGTTCTGTACCCACAGGTTATGCACAAGCGAAGAGTACGAGGAAGGTCTTGGAGACGCTGCGGAATGCATGAGCTTCCAGCAGTTCAGGGCGAAATCATAATGGGTAGCTGCTCATGACTCTTCGCCAGATGAGGTGTCAAAGGCATAGAAAGTGCGGCAATGCCTGAAGTAGCTCTTCGATACCACTCCGTAGCCCGACCAGCTGTCTGCCCAACTGTCCGTGCTTGGAGTTGCCAGGTTCACAGCTCTGGCCTTGTGTCACGATGCCCAAGCTGGACAATCCTGAAGAAACCGGACGACCCTTGCGAACACTTCAAAAGCTTGCAAACCCAAGCCATGGCAGCAAGACAGGCTTTGGATTCTGCTCGATCATGTTCTTGGAACGACAGCCTCGGTGACAGACTGCCGTACTGGGAGTGTCTTTGCAATGCAGCTGCCCGCCAAGCGGCGACGCAAAGGTGCGAAGGGCAAGTACAACTCTGCGTCATGGGGCGGGCCCTGCCGTAATGCAGAAGCCTGAGTCAACTACTGTTCCGCAGCATTCCCCGTATAGAGACGTTAAAAATCATTATTGAAATGCTGAGTATTATTATGAGTATTAACAGTCTTTGGTTCAGATTCTTATCCTTCTTCTTATTATTATGATGAGTCTCATTGTGAGTGTTACTTTTTGATTATCATCATCATCGTCATTATTCGAACAACTAATAATACATCTTTTTATCGTCATTATCGTTATTATTACCAGTATCTCTATTAGTAAAACTGGTTGTTCTTACTATAACAAAAATGTCATTTTTCATTTCTCAGTCCCATTGTTTTCCATTCTTTTGGCTGTTGCGATAATCGTGATAATCATCATCGCAACAAGACTCGTAGTAATAGTAATAACAATAATCATCATCAGAATCATCATCAGAATCATCATCAGAATCACTGTTCGTGTTATTGATATTCTTGTGGGTCTTTTTAATGTGAGTATTGCATGATCTCTGTTCTTCTTATTATCAGTCTTATTAGTCGTGATTCACTCTCTGTGGTTGATGCCTGCGCAGGCGTTGGGGCAGACGTTAAGGCTCTGATGCGGCAGCTGGCCGCAGGCCAAGAAACCCTAAACCCTAAACCCCTAAACCCCTAAGCCCTAAACCCTAAAACAAAAACCCTAAACCTGCCACGTCTGGAGGGTTGACGGCTTAGGGGTCAAAGCTTAGTGCAAATTGTAGTTCCTGCTCAAGAAAGGGGGTCAAGTCTGTTTTAGGGATTATAGGGCTTGAACGGTTTAGTTAAGGGTTTTAGGGTTTAGGGCTGCTGATCGTCTGGGCACTTGGGTACTTGCCGGGTTTCTGTGGTAGCTGCCTGGTAGCTCTACTGGTAGGCATGAGGTGCTGTGATTCTTCAGGGTCTGTAGGTTGGTTTCCAGGCTATCTGATCGATGCAGGAGTGAACATAAATGAAGAACTGCTTGTATTCGCATGCACTTTCAAGTTGCCTTGGACCGGCAGACTGTGGCAAGAGAAAGCACGTGCGCGTTTTGCTGTGTGCTCAGCTGGACTTCTGGTGGCAAAAGACTTTATTGCAAACTCCGAATCCCCAATGTCAAGCACAAAATCCCCAATGCCTGTGTCTGCAGATCGCCGACAACGTAGCTGGAGACGTGTGCCGGGCGCTCGGTGTGGTAGCTTTTGCAGGGCTAGTGCGGGATGCGCGGCTCAAGCCCGATGGTTCAGCAACTCTCGAAGATGGATAGCATCCTGTCTGAGCCTAGCGGATGTGAAGGGTATGCCAGCTTGACGAAAGGCTTGTTCCAGGGCTTGTTGAATTGCCCTTGATGCAGGATTGGCACTTTGACGCTGGCACGAAGGCATAGTCGTTGGTCGTGCTGGCCGTTCCTGTAAGCTTTTGTGACTTTTCACTTTCCGGCATAGATGCCTATTCTCTGGTTTTTGTGTCGATTCTACGGCTCTGCAACACACAGAGCTGGGGTACACTTGCAAACCATAGTAGGCTTAGTAGGCCCCAACAGGAACACAAAGGACATCGGCAGATGATGCGACGAAAAAGCTCAACGTCGCAAAGGGTGCAGAAATGTAGCAACAGGCATAAACGGTATCATGCTGTATTCTGGTATGCTATGTTATAGTATAGTATAGGATAGTATAGAACAGTACAGTTATCTACGCAAATTCAAGCGAAACCATGGCAAAGTGAGGGAAAGATGCGCTTTGGTTCAGGCAGCACATCCAGCTTGATGTCTTCGTGTATGGTGCTGCCACCGGCGCATCAGCCTGAGAGCTGTGGTGGCACATCTTGCTCAGCTCAGGGAGCAGTTGTCGACTCTGCTCCTGTCATCGCCACCGCAAATCCGAGGTTTATGCTGAAAGCAGCCAGTGGTCGCTGGCCGAGGAGATGTTTGATCAGGACTGCCACTCATTGGGATCCGGAAGCTTCGTAGCTTCATGGCTTGCAGGTACGGTCAGGTGGACTCCAGCCCGACATGGTGTTGCGCCGCTTACCCGGTGAACTTCCATTGCTCTTTCCACCAGAGTAGCACGGCCCTTTCAAAAGGTTCTGTCGTCTGCGGGCGAAGATGTAGATGCTGCCAGTTCTGGTAACCCTGCGCTGATGTTGTGATTGGAAACGTTCTAGCCGCCCGACTGCTTGGCGAAGGGGACGGAGTCAGCGAATCTGCCAAACACGCTTCCAACGACCAGCACAGGATCTGTCAGCATTTCGATTGTGTCACATGGCGACAAGGGACCCGACATAGGAATGAACCACTTACTTGTAGCTTGAAGCTCAACTTACATTGCAGTCTTGAGGCCGCTGTACACGTCACCGAGCCATGAAGCCGAGAGTGATGCCGCCCTGGAATCCGGACGAGGTGCCAAAGCTTTGACGGCCGAGCCGATGCTGCTGGGCCCATCGCCAGGGCGCTTTAGATGCCCGGCTTAGTGGTACAAGGATTTGGGAGTTTCCGAAAATTAGGGGTACCTTAATTTTGGGGTCTTTATATTAAGGATCCTATTGTTTAGGGTGCTATCTTTGGGTCCCCTATTTTCAGAAACCCCCATTTAGAGCTGGGAAGCTTTCAGGGAGTCAAGTCTTCTGGAGCCGAGGACACGTCGTCTTCTGGCAGCTGTCGCTGTGGTGCCTGAACTACTCGGGCCGATGCTCTACGCGGCGGGTGGACGAGATCGCGGAAGGTGCGGCCTGGGACTGGCCAAGCGGTGCTTTCCTCAGGTTCGGGAATGAATCCGAGCTGATCTACACCAGGCGCGGGGCATGTCTGAACGAAGTCCCTTCAGTGGGTAGCGGGGAATTCCGGGCTCCATTCAGCGCGCGCATGCATCGACCTTCTACCGGCGCTGAGGATCACAACAAGCGCAGGGCTGACCCTCTCGGATCTGCAGATCATTGTTCCCGTTGCCGAATGCAGGGAATGGAATGCGTCCGACTTGGGGCCTTACACCTTGCTGATCCACATGCACGAAGTGTCGTACCTGGAGTTGCTGCTCCACATAACCGCTGATGCGAACTCTACCCTGTTTCTGGGCCCCTCGCTGGATGATGGCTATGAGATAACCTTAGCCAGCGAGCAGGGCATCTCCTCCATACAGAGGCTGATTGCGAGCCGAGTGCAAGGAAGCACCCAGGAGTATCCTGGCAGGAAGGGTAGAACTTGGGTACTGCCCCCACTCAGTAACAGTTGGAAAATATTTATATTATGGAGCCCTTAATAGTAGCCCTATTATAGTCTGTTACTGTATGGGGGCAGTACCCAGGGTAGAACATCCATAAACTGACCACAGCGCCCCGCCTGTCATGTGCGGATGTAGCGGTAGTGGCCTGTTGAACAATTCTACGATAGATTCCAACGGAGAGTTTCAGCACCATCAGATGGGAGAAGGAGCAGGCTGTACTAGGGCGGGTGAAGTCTGTAGTCCTGCATGTGAACGCTCAGAGGCAGGTGCTCAAGTCTTCGAAGACCCACGGCCAAAACCCTAAACCCGAAGCCCTATACCCTAAACCCTAAACCCTAAACCCTAAACCCTAAACCCGAAGCCCTATACCCTAAACCCTAAACCCTATACTGCAAACCCCCTAAACCCTACGATCCTTCAGGCAGGGGCTTCGGGCCCTCCCCGGAGCTCGGCTCTCCATCCGCCTCTCCTGGCAGCTGCTGCTTGGCACCGGCACCCTCAGGCCTTCACACGCGCAGCCCCCCAAAAAAAGCCCTAGACCCCACAAAGGGAATGGGTTTAGGGTTTAGGATTTAGGGTGGCGTGACGTAGCAAGCCAGTTGCAAAAAGGATTTAGGGGACAGGGTTTAGGGTTTAGGGTTGGTGGGGCTCGGAGTTGGCGGAGAGATTTGTAGCTTCTGCAGGTGCAGGGATAGGACCAGGAAGGGATCTTGTATTCCGGAGTTTACGTGTCTTTGGTAGGCCACGGCTCAGTCATTTGTGTAGGAAAATCTGGTGCGTGCCGTCCTGCCCCTGTCCTTCTTACAGTACTCCCGCCAATTCCTTAGTGGGTCATGGGCCTGGTTTAGCCTTCGGCCTCGAAACTCTGGCTTCCATGGTCCCGGGAAAGCGAGGCAATGCCCGGGTGAGCCGAAGCATGAAGAGGAAGAATTGAAAAGCTTAGGACGACGTCCAGCTATGACGTCCGGTGGATGTTCATCGCTCTAGTCTCGAAGCTCGAAAGTATTGAGAAGCATTCCTGCATTTCCAACACTAGCTACTATACTTTACCATGCTATGCGATACGATGCTATACTATACCATGCTATACTATGCTATACTATATCTTCTATACTTTTCTGTATTATAAGATTCTACAAAGCCTGAAGGATCTACAACGGCAGCGAGCCGCTTCCTGCGACGCAGCTGTTGGCTTTCGTTGACCCGGCGCCGCCGCGCCGGGCCAGTGACCTGTGCCAAGCCCTGACTTCAGAATGCTCGAATACAGAAGAAAAGCATATATGTATGTGTACATATATACATACACAGGTATATATATATATATATTTATATGTATAGATGTATATTGATATGCTTTTGGTATATATATATATATATATGTGTGTGTGTGTGTGTGTGTGTGTGTTTTGGATGTATGTATATACATATATATGTATATATCTCTATCTATTACAATGACGGGGAGCCTGGAGATCATCATGACAGCAGAGGTGAGGTCAAGAGCTTGAAGGCAGGAACGTCTCTGGCAAACTCGATGCAAGTATCAGGTCCTTTGAGAGCCCATGTTAAAATATTAATTATAGTACATGAATTATAGTATATGAACTGTAGTATCGTGCGGCATAGAAAACGGTAGAAAAGTGTGGTAGAATCCAGTCAAGACTAGTAGTAGCAGAGTGGAGTATAGTTTACGTAGCATGTTTCTGAAGCTAGGCGCCTCTGGGCTGCAACGACGAGCACCGCAGGCCTTCCCAGGGACAGCTGCGGATCCCAAGCCTTGCAGCTGAAGAGCACTGAACCGAGGGACGGAGCAAGACGAATGATTCACGATTAATTTTATTCTTATTTTGTTAGTACTGTTATTGTGGTTAAGCTTCTGATTATTGATAATGATGTTATTATTAATATTCGTATGAATGAAATTAGCAATTTTTATTAGTATTACATTGTGTAGCATTTGAAACATGGCTTGTCAGCGTTAAAAAACAAGCGTGACAAAACCCAAACCCTCCAAATACACAGACCCATGTTCTCGCCCACACTGGTGGAGTTGTGAGTTTGAAAGGAGCTTCGCAAATAACGCATGACGACGAACACGACTGCTGCTGGCTGTTGTTGCTTCTGCTCCACCTTCTCAGCGTGCAGTTTCGTGCCTGCTGCTGCTAAGCTGTTCTAGACCACTACCTCTACGACGGCCTCCGCCACCCGCACAACGACAGCAACGGCAGCAGAAGCAGCGGCAACTGTAACTACAACTATACTGCAGCTGCAGCTGCAGCTACAGCCAAACCACAAGCTGTGGCTACAGCTACAGCTACAACAAACAACACCTGCTGCTGCCGCTGCTGCGCTGTCTTTTCTTCCCCCTCAACGGCTACAACAGCCACTTGTGCTTTTACTGCTACGGTTCCACTCAGCAGGAGGACTAGTTGCAGCAATCAGCCGGAGCTCACACTACTTATACCGATGATGGCACATTCATAATGCACAAGCCCATGCAGGTCTCTGGAGCGCCTGTCCTGTGGGCCGGTCTGCGCCGGTACTTGAGAGGCCTAATCCGTGGGGGGGCCTGGTGGTGTCAGCAGGCAGAGGCAAGAATTCGCTGAGCCTTTTAAAGTGGCTTCCCCGTCTCTCCGGGCAGGGAGAATCACCAGCGGCCCATGCTCAAGCTGGTTAAGAGGCTTAGCGGCACTGATCTTTTTGCGCCTGGTGGATGGCACAAGAGCGTGAACAGTCATCGCTCCCGTGTCCAAGGGATGGGACACGGCCGTCGGAATGCGAAGAAACGCTGCAAGACGTCGCAGCTGCTGGGCTACAGCTAGATGCTCTCTCCAGGGGGTCTGCCGTCACGGCTGAGGTTCCCAGCAGCGAATGGCAGAGCTGGCCCTTGCCCCTGGTGCTCACAGATAATCGGTTGGAAGCTCTGGAAAACTTCAGCTTCATGCAAGGCGGGACTTGGGATCTCCGGCATATGCTAGGTTTCCATCTGTCCGTCGCCTGCCAGTCTGTCTGTCTATCTACCTGCTGTACCTCACTCCCTACCGACCCGTCGACCTACCTGCCTCCCTGCCTGCCTACCTACCTACCTACCTACCTACCTGCCTGCCTGCCTGCCTGCCTGCCTGCCAAGCGAGCTAGCGAGCTGGCTAGATATTTGTCTATCTATCTGTGTATGTATTTTTTCTTGCTAGTTATGTGTACACATTTACTGTATATGCTGATGCATATACATATGAATATACATGTAACCTATACATATACGCACATGTGCACACAACATTGTTTTCTATATGCCATGGCGCAATACACCATCGCATAAACTAGCAGCATACATGATTCTAAAGTCAGGCATTTTTAATCTCGTATGCTATAGTGGAATTTAATGTAAAAACAGCATGACACAAGGTGGTAGAATGTAATATCGTAATACGGTTATCGGACCGGAGCCTCGCCTGCTTTGTCGAGAGTGAGTGCCAAAAATATCGTAATATGGTAAACCATTTGATAGCATGATATCTTATAGCAAAGTACAATGTGATATAGCTGTGCGATACCTACCTTGTTATACGACAGTGCAATATATCATAATCCAATAGAATATAGGCTTTAGGGCAGCATGATGACTGTACTATTCTTATGCAATGTGAAATCACCAAGGCTGAAAAGCATACAGCACATTGTTTATGATTGCTATATAGCATAGCATAGCATAGCATAGCATAGCATAGCATAGCATAGCATAGCATAGCATAGCATAGCATAGCATAGCATAACGGAACACAGCATAGCGCAATATAGCACATCATAGTTTACCATGGCGATATATAGCAGTATGTGGTATTATGCTGTCTTATGGCATCTAATGTGCATTATGTTGTGCTTTACTGCTCTATGGTGTTATGTTGTAATATGTTTCATGATGTTGTTTTATGCTCTATTGTGGTGCCTGGTTTTATGTCATATGGGGTTTCCGAAAATAGGGGACCCTAATATAGCACCCTAAATAATAGGATCTTTATTATAAGGACCCCAAAATAAGGTACCCCTAATTTTCGGAAACCCCCATATGTTCAGGAAACAACATCTACGGGCCGCCTACCTGCAGCCTTCTTTTTTGGGCTTTGCTACAAATCAAGCAGAATCTGGTTGCAGAAGTTTGAGAAATGCTACTGCGACTTTGTGGAGAGCTCTGGAAAACCGTGTTTTAGCTGGAAAATATGGCGTCCATTCTCTTTGTATATTATGTTGAATTATGTCACGCTGTCGTAGTGGTGTGTGATGAAGTGTTATTTGTGTACTGTGCTATGTCATGGTGTAATATGTTCTGACCCAATAATTACAAATGTTGTATCATACTATGCTCCATGATGACTTTTTGAGAATCATTTTCTGTTATGTTCTGTCACAAGTTGTTATTTTCTATCATTTCTCTCGGTGGCACTCTGGAAAACTTTTCAATTACTCTGTATGGTTTCTAGAGAGGTACTTATTATCAATATTTGCAAGGGCCGCTAACCTACAACCCAGTCACATGCTGTTCTGTTTTGATCGAATATTGCATGTTTACATTTTTGTTTAACGGTTTTGGGTTCATGTTATGTCATCTTCATATTTCTGGTAGTTGTATGGTTATGTCTGCATGTACATTGTATCTACATTTATGTTGATAGTGTTTTGTTATGTCACGTCCACGGCCGAGCGCCAGCTGGCCAAGCTCCAGGCGGAGTTTACGAGCTTTGCTACGCCCCGAACGCCCAAAACGACTGTGTTTGCAGCGCTGGTGTCTGCGACTTTGACATGCATTGGGGTTTTTTGGGCTAGTGTTAACGGTTTATAGGGGTTTAGGGGTCTGGAGTTTATCTTCCCAGCAGGAACGAGCCCTGATGCAAAAAGGGTTTAGCGTGAGAGTTGCCTGGACGCTTGCCGGAACCTCTGGCTGTGCTGCAAAAGCGGGGGTCTGCAGTGCGGTTGGGAGGGATCACCTCGCCTTGGAATAGTTTCCTGCTTCAAAGTTGAGGTACGTGCAGTCTGACCGGGGAGTCCTGCACCCCTTCCGCGCTTACCGCGTTTGGGTCCTGCAACCCTTTCGCGACCAGCGACCGAAGCTCGAGCAGCAGCTGGGCTGGCATGGAAGTGTTGGACTGCTAGACGCCGAGACGGCCAGCCAGCTGCTTTCACAAAACCGATTCCAGACTCAGGCAGCATTTTGTTCGCAGATGTGGTCGTACGTGGAGTTGCCAGCCCTTGCAACACCACAGGCGCGGAGAGTATCTGGATAGAAACCGCGAGTTTGCGACACTTATCGTTGCAGGTTGCCTGCCATTGCAGCGCTGGGACTGCTTCTTCCGGCCTGGAGCAGGTGGTGGCCTTTGATAGGGCTTCAGCAGGAGGAAAGTTTTGTGCTCGTCCAGGCACAGGCCCTTGCCTCCTCGACTTCACGGAGGCCACTGGTCGCAATGGCTGGACTCTCACTGCCGGAGTTCTCAGCCGTGTGCCTTGGCTTGGCCCATCGCGGAAGTTTGCGTGAGGAGCTTTGGAACATGTCGCCGAGGCGAGCTGGACAGCCGAC